AGGGTGGGAAATAGAACAGGGTCTGCAGTGGTTGTGTGAGGGGGTGGATTCTGAGCAAGGGGGGGGCAGGTCTGCCTCTGAGAGGGAAAGCAAGGGTGTGAGTGGAGACATAAAGAAAATTTGGGGACCAGGTGCAGTGGCTCACACCTATAATTCTGGCACTGTGGAAGACTGAGGTGGGTGGATCACCTGAGGTCAGGAGTTTGAGACCAGCCTGATCAACATGGTGAAACCCGATCTCTCTTAAATACAAAAAATTAGCTGAGTGTGGTGGTGCAAACCTGTAATCCCAGCTATTTGGGAGGCTGAGGCAGGAGAATCGCTTGAACCTGGGAGGCGGAGGTTGCAGTGAGCCGAGACTGGGCCATTGGACTCCAGCCTGGGCCACAAGAGCGAAACTTCATCTCAAAAAAAAGAAAATTTGGGGGCGAAGGGACATACATAGATGGAGTTCATGTAGGTGACCGAGTTGTCATTGTGATGTGCTCATCATAAAATAGCAGCAGCAGCTGTCACTGATAACGTGTTTTCTAAGTGCTGGCCTCAGAGCTAAGTACTTTACACATTTTGCCTCTATCATCTCATTAATATTATCAGAATTTTATGAAGTAGTAAAAATTAAAATTTTTATTTGACAGATAAGGAAACTGAGGCTCAGAGTGGTATGCAACCTGCTAGTAAATTTCAAAAGCGGAATAAGAAGCTAGATCTGTTATATTCCAAGGGCTCTATTTCTAAACACTTCATCATATTAAGAACACATGCACACACACATACACGCACATACATACACATACATACACATGCATACACACAGAGACACACATACATAACACAGACACACACAGACACACATATACACACAGACACACACATACACATACATACACACACATATATACACACAGACACACATACACATACATACAGACAGACACACACAGAGACACATACATACACATACACACACACATACACACACATATACACATACGTACACACACACACACACACACACACACACACACACACACTAGCTGCTTGGCCTTGGCAGAGTCAGGATCCAGAATCGGGAGACTTGGGCTTGTTGTGCTTGCTTTACTGTTTCAAAACGCACATCCTGGGTCCCAAGTCTACAAATGCTGATCCACAGGTCTGGAGGATGTCCCGGTAATATGCATTTGCTTCAAGGTCACATTTGGATGTGACTCAGATACAAAGACTCAGATTCAGTCTTTGACACTTTAAGAAGCCCAGACCCAGGATTACCTTAGGCTCATGGGCTTCTTTGCTTAATAAGATATTTTTTAGCAGGGTCCAGCTTCTGGCCTGGAAACATGGATTTTTTTTCCGGAATTTTGTTGATAGAGGAAGGTAAGTCTTCTTACCTGTACGATGACCTTGGCATCAAACTGTGGCAGGTGATGAAGACCGCACACCCTGTTAAGGCTGCAGTGAACTGTGATTGCAGCACAGCGCTCCAGCCTGGGCGACACAGAAGGACCCCGTCTCAAAACAACAAGAAAACAGATACCTGTATTCATTTAACCAGGAACCGTCTATAAGTACTGTGTAAGTTCAGACTCGGGTCAGGTTGCTGTGACAAAGATGGCTAAAATTACAGAGGTTTGAGCAACTTGGAAGTTGATTTCTCTGCCATATGACACATGGAAGACAGCCCAGAGTGGATAGGGTGTCCTGGCGATGTCGGGAACTCAAGTGTTTGCATATTTTTCCTCTATCATCCTCCTGTGCATTTTCCATCTCAACAGATTGAGGCAGCTGCATTAACTCCGGTCATCACATCTGCCTTCCAGCCAGGTATAGAGAAGGAAGGCAAGCAGGAAGGAGAACCTTCTCTTCCTAAAAGAACAGCTTTATTGACAGATAATTCAAACACCATGAAATGTACAATTAAATGTTTTGTAGTGTATTTACAGAGTTGTGCAACCACCTCCACAATCGACTTTAGAACATTTTCATCACTCCAAAAGGAAACCCCACACCTATTAGCAGTTCTTCTCCATTTCCGCTCAATGCCCTCAGCCCTAAGCAATTACTCATTTACTCTCTGTCTTACAGGTTCACCTGTTCTGAGCATTTCATACCGATTGAAACACTATATGTTCTTTGATGAATGTCTTCTTCCACTTAGCATAAGATTTTAAAGATGTATCCATGTCATAGCATGTATCAGTACCTCATTCCTTTTTATTGCTGAACAATATTCCATTGTATGGATGTACTACATTTAATTTACCAGTTGATGGACATTTGAGTGGTTTGCACTTGTTGGCTATTGTGAATAATGCTGCTATGAACATTTGTGTATAAGAAGTTTTTGTGTAGATATGTGGTTTTATTTCCTTTGGGTCTATACTGATAAATGAAAGTGCTGAGTCAAATAGGAACTCCATGTTTAACTTTTTTTTTTTTTTTAACGAGACAAAGTCTTCTACTGTCACCCAGGCTGGAGTGCAGTGGTACGATCTCAGCTCACGGCAACCTCTGCCTCCTAGGTTCAAGTGATTCTCTTGTCTCAGCCTCCTGAGGGTCTGGGATTACAGGCGGATGTCACCATGCCCGGCTAATTTTTGTATTTTTAGTAGAAATGGGATTTTACCATGTTAGCCAGGCTGGTCTCAAACTCCTGACCTTAGGTGATCTGCCTACCGTGGCTTCCCAAAGTGCTGGGATTACAAGTGTGAGCCACCACGCCTGGCCGTACCAGGTTTTTTTAATGAAATTTGATCATCTATTTTATTTGAAAGAGCCAAAAGCCAAGATACTCTTGAAGAACAAAATAGATAAGTTACTGTACCAGACATCTAGCAGATAACTAGAGAGCTGTAGTAATTAAGACAGACTAGTTCACACAATTACACGATGATAGCCAAATTAAATAATGATACAAAATAAAGAGGCCAGAAGCCAGCTCTCCTTTACATAGAAATTTGATTCATGACTGAATTGTAATTGCAGATCTGTGAAGAAATGATGGGTTCCCAGAAGTATCAGGAAAATTCTTATCCTTATGGGGAAAAAGGGAGTCAGGGCTCTTCATCATACCATAGAGAAAATTTGACTTTAAATGCTTAAATGTGAAAAATTAAAACTGTAAAAGTTTTAGAAGAAAATATCTATCATGAGAATGATTTTTTAAGTTCAGAAAGTGAAATAAATACAGAAAAGTGCTGATGGATATAACTACTGTACATGTTTGCTATTGCTGCATAACCAGTCCTCAAATTTAGCAGCTTAAAACCATCTGTCAGCTCGTGGATCTGTGAGGCAGAGACCCAGGCGCGGTGTGGCTGGGCTTTCCACTCTGGTCTTGCCAGCTTCAATCAAGGTGTGGGCGGGGCTGTGTTCTCACCTGGAGCCCTGAGTCCTCTTTCACTTTCACATGCTTGTGGCAGATTTAGCTCCCTCTAGTTGTAGGATGGAGGCCCCTGGGTCTCAGTTCCTGGAGGCCATCTGTACTGCCACTGCCAGGTAGCCTCCATCTTCAAAGCCAGCTTTGGCCAGGCACAGTGACTCAGTCACTGCCTATAATCCCAGCACTTGAGAAGGCCAAGGGTGGGCAGATCACTTGAGGTCAGGAGTTCAAGACCAGCCTAGCCAGCATGGCAAAACCCTGTCTCTATTAAAGAAAATACAAAAATTACCCAGGCATGATGGCATGTGCCTGTAGTCCCAGCTACTTGGGAGGCAGACACGCAAGAATTGCTTGGACCCAAGAGGCAGAGGTTGCAGTGAGTGGAGATTGCACCAGGGCATGCCAGCCCTGGTGACAGAGCAAGACCGTGTCTCAAAATAAATAAATAAATAAAAGCCAGTCAGATTTGCTTGCCCAGTTTTTCCTGCACTTTGAAACTCTGAAGTTTTCTGTCTCTGGTCTCTAGGCCCCAGATTGAAGGGACCATGTGATGAGGCCGAGCCCACCTAATCTCCCTCTTGATTAACTCTTATGCAACCAATTAGTAACCCTTGTTACTCCTGCAAGATTCCTTTTGCCGTACATGCCACATGATCACAGAAGCGATATCCTGCTATATGCACAGGTTCTGTCCACTCTTCAGGGGGCATCATAAAAGGGTGTGGGTCATGAGAATTCTGCCTACCACAGTTACATTATAATTAATAGCTTCTGTTTTTCAAATGACACTATAAGAAAATGAAAGGCGGCCAGGTGCAGTGGCTTATGCCTGTAATCCCAGTACTTTGGGAGGCCAAGGCAGGTAGACCACTTGAGGTCAGGAGTTCGAGACCAGCCTGGCCAGCATGGTGAAACCTCATCTCTACTAAAAATACAAAAATTAGGGGGGTGTGGTGGCGCACACCTGTAGTCCCAGCTACTCGGGAGCCTGAGGCATGAGAAACACTTCAATCTGGGACGTGGAGGTTGCAGTGAGCTGAGATCACGCCACTGCACTCCAAACTGGGCAACAGAGTGAGACCCTGTCTCAAAAAAGAAAGAAAGAAAGAAAGAAAAGAACATGAAGAAAGTGAAAGGGCAAGCTACAGAATGGGATATAAGACTTACAATTCACATAAGTGATAAAGGAGTTGTTTCTAGAATACGTATTTTATTTATTTATTTAGAGACGATGTCTCACTCTGTCACTCATGCTGGACTGCAGTAGTGCAATCGTGGCTCACTGTGGCTTTGACCTCCTAGGCTCGTGATCCTCTAATCTCAGCCTCCCAAGTAGCTGGGACTACAGGCACATGACACCATGCTCAGCTGATTTGTATATTTTTATAGAAACAGGGGTCCCACTGTGATGCCCAGGCTGGTCTCAAACTTTTGGGTTCAAATGATCCTCTTAACTCAGCCTCCCAAAGTGCTGGGATTACAGGTATGAGCCATCGCATCTGGCCAAGTATATATATTTTAAATCTTACATATTAATAAGAAAAAAGACAAAACAACAGAAAAAGAGACAAATGAAATAAACATATCTTCCCAGAAGAAACTAAAAGTATCAACTAGTGTTTGAACATGTGTTTTTAATTGTGAAAACATTCGGTGTCCAGTGCCTGGTCTTGTCTGCTGTGGGAGACCCAGGTGACTGCCACAGCCTTTGTTGCTGTGTGACCTGTGGGTGCTGGGAGATCCACAGAGAAGACATGGGGACATCCTAGAAGCTGGGAAATGAAGAGGGAAGAATGCAACCACACATGGACGGATGGTCTTTTCCATAACATAACGCCTGCCTAGCAGGCTCAAATTCCAAAGAGAATCATATACAAGTTAATTTCTGTCTCCCTGGTTGAACATTCTCCCTAATCACCACTTGCTGCTTCTCAAAGGAATTGTCTACATTTCGTATCTCCTCCTTACCCTGTGAAAGAGTGTACATCAGCTTCTGTACCCCATCAGGAGGTTGGGAAATCACTGATTCTCCCCCGCCCTATACATTAATAACTTTGTATGCCTTTTCTTCTATTAAAAATAGATGAAAACTCAGTAAGACATTTTACCCCACTATATTAGCAAACCTTTAAAAACCTGACAATATCAAGCCTCTCCAGGGAATCATAGTGTCACCAGTGGCGAATTTGTATGGGACTGCAGCAACCTCAGTTCTTGCCTCCTCAGAAGAAAGAATTTGACCAAGGGGCATAATAAGGCAGAGTGAGAGACCGAAGCAAGTTTTAGAGCAGGAGTGAACGTTTACGTAAAAACTTTAGAGCGGGGATGAAAGGGTGTAAAATACACTTGGAAGAGGGCCAGGTGGGTGATTTCACAGATCAAGTGCACTGTTTGACCTTTGACTTGGGTTTTCACATGTTGACATAGTTCCAGGGTTTTACATCCCTTCTCCCCCGATTCTTCCCTGGGGCTGGGCTGTACACACGTGCAGTGGCCCGCTGGCAGCTGGGAGGTGAGCACGCAGTGTGTTTCCTGGAGTTGTGCGCATGCTCACTTGAGGCATTCTTCCCCCACCACTTGAGTGTCCCTGGGAGTTGAGCTCCACCATTTTGCCTCTTAGTGTGCATGCTTGAGCTCACTCTCCCAACTCCTGAGATCTTACTGGGAAGCTGCTGATCACCAATTTCAAGTTTTTTCTATCTATTGGGAGACTGCTTTTCCCTGGTGCAGGCTGCAACCAGTTATTAGAGACAGTTTAACAATCGCCTGACCATCACCTGATGGTTGCCTGACCCTCCTGGTGGGGGTGGGGTGGGGGTGGATCCCTGTCCTGTCCTGCTCACGTCTGACTAGTTACCTGTAACAATTGGAGCTCACATACTTGTGACGTGAGTTTAAATTGGTGCAACCTCTTTGGGTAACCAACTGGGATGATCTTTAATGTTGGAAATATACACCCTCTACAACCCAAGAGTTTCATTCCTGGGTATGTAATTGACAGAAATGCGTGCATGGCTGGTTACAGCGGCTCACACCTGTAATCTCAGAACTTTGGGAGTCCAAGGTGGGAGGATTGCTTGATCCCAGGAGTTCGAAACCAGCCTGGGAAACATGGCAAAATCTCACCTCTACAAAAATACACAAAAATGAGTCGGGTGTGGTGATGCATGCCTGTAGTCTCAGCCACTCCAGAAGGCTGAGGTAGGAGGAGCAATTAAACCCCAGGTGGTCAAGGCTGCAAGGAGCTGTAATCATGCCACTGCATTCCTGCCTGGGTGACAGAGTGAGACCCCATCCCCCCCCAAAAAAAAAGAGAGAGAAGAAGAAGAAGAAGAAGAAATCCATGCACATGGATGTTCTAGGCAGAAAAACAAACCTGGAGAAAATGGCAAATAATTTAAATGTCCACAAACCGTAGGATGTTGTAAATAAGTTACATAATAATGTGTAATAAATTACAGAATACTTTACAGGTAATGACATGGTTCTATTTCTTAAAGTTGGTGGAAACTATGACACATGTGTTTGTTTCACTCTTCCTTCAAGAAGTCTTTCCAAACACTCTGTCCCTTCCCCTGACCGGAAGTCAGAGGCAGACAGGCGCTTAAAGATCAGGAACTCAGCCCTCGGCTTCACCAACAAGGGGATGAGGGAAGGAGACACATGTCAGGGCTTCCCTTGAAACCCTCCTCTTTGTCTGCATGGGATGCCCTCCTCTTTTTCTTCTCATACCCATCTGCCAACATCCTCTTCATCTTTTAAGGCCCTTCCTCTGGATCCTCAGAAAACTCAAGTTCAGAGAGGCTGAAGGATGAGCTTAAGGCATGCAGTCTTTAAGACGCAGCCTTGGTTCTCTGGAATCTATGTTCTCTTTAACAGCAGCATCCAGGGTTCATTTACGTCTGTACCTGTAGCACTGTTGATGACAGTTCCTTATAAACAGAAGGTGCTCAGTAAATGCCATCTCCTCCCTCCGGGTCTTTAATGAGTTTAAAAAAGAGCTTTGTAAAACTATGGCTACTTTGATGCTGCTAACATAGAAATGACCAGCAGATGGCAGCATTTAACTTTCCCAGCTCTCAACTTTGCAATCATGGGATTACAGGTATTGATCGATTTACGACCTATGCAATTTACGACCATTCGACTTTAAGATCACAATCGCTAGCCACGACTGCTCCGCGTCTGGCAGCGCAAACGTTGCCCAGCTGGGCGTACGACAGTGCGGACTAGCTTCCGGCAGCACTACCATGTCCGCGTGCACCATTTCAACTGTTATCCCAGACTCAGCACAGCAATTTGTGTTTTGTGTCTTGGATATTTTTCATCAAACCCCTCCCAAGATGTCTACCAAGAGGAAATTGTCTTTGTCTACACCTCAGCCTGTCAAGAAGGAAAGAAAGGCCATCGATCTCAACACGAAAATGAAAGTAATTAAGCACTACGAAGGAGGAAAGAAAGTGAATGTGATTGCACGTGATACGAAGTTATTTCACAGTACTGTACATATAGCCTACTCAACTTACGACCAAATCGTGTTATGACCGGTCTGTCGGAACCAATCACGGTCGTAAGTCGAGCACTAGCTGTATTTTCCCTTGAGCTCAGGGCCTGCTCAGAATCCATTGTGGACAGTGCGCCAGGCTCCCTCTACCAGAGGGAGATGACACCAGAGGAAGCTTGTCCCTGCNCTCTGAAGCCAAGGCTAGAGTGAAGTCGTGTAGTCTCGGCTCACTGCAACCTCCACCTCCTGAGTTTAAGCAATTCTCCTGCCTCAGCCTCCCAAGTAGCTAGGATTACAGGTGTGTGCCACCACACTTGGCTAATTTTTTGTATTTTTAGTAGAGGTGAGGTTTCAGCATGTTGGCCAGGCTGGTCTCAAACTCCTGACCTCAGGTGGTCCACCCATCTCGGTCTCCCAGCATGCTAGGATTATGGGCATGAGCCACTGTGCCCAGTTGAACATGACAGCTTTTCCCCTCCACAGAGCTCAATGAAATGCTGGTTCTCACAAAAGCGCTGAAATACCCTGGGCAGCAAGGGTAGCAAAGGCATCTTAGGGTTCTGCCTTTCAGCTGGATAGACAGACTCCAAAAGGCAAAATGATGAACTCAAAATTCACAGCAAGTTGAGATTTTCTGACTTGTAATCCCGTGCGCTCGCCTGTGTTAGTTTTCAAAGGTGAAATCTACCCTGAAGCTATGTCAGCCTGTATGTACAGAAAGGAGACCAGAAAGTTTTTTAAAAACTCAAAATGCTATATTGTAAATAATCAAGGAACAGCAGAGAAAAGAGTGTTGGGACTCAGAGGAGCAGACCGCACTAATTTCAGGGTTGGGGAGGGTGAGAAATTATGGCGTCAGAAAAGAGTTGTTGAAAACAAGGGAGCTCTCACCCTTAAAAACAGTCAAGACATGCACAAGAAAAGGAGCAATGGTGGAAATTCTAGATCAGGATGGCAAAGGTATGGCTTGGGGCTGCTACTCTCTTTCACCCTCCACTGCCCCCTGGCCCCCATACCCATGACAGACATTGGTAATCTATCATGGGATTATTTCCCCTTGAGCTCAGGGCCTGCTCAGAATCCATTGTGGACAGTGCGCCAGGCTCCCTCTACCAGAGGGAGATGACACCAGAGGAAGCTTGTCCCTGCCCTATTGCCTCTCTGGTGGCCACAATTTATTGTGCACTTACTGTGTGCCAGGAGTTGTGCTGAGCTCTTTACACACACCTTCCATTTAATCCATTTACCACATTCTCGGGAGTTAGGCATCCTTCCAGTTTTACATATAGGGAAGAGTGGGTGCAGAGGTGTTAAAAGCCTCATAATGGCAGAGCCAGGATTTACATCCAAGCCCATCTGTCTCCAAAGCCCAGGCTCAGAAACTGCTAGACAGGTGAGCTAAGCCAGTATGGAAGAAGGCCTGTGGTCTGCATCTTGTTTAGGCCTGAAGATTGAGACGAACCAGTCTGCAGTGGAGCCTGACGTCCAGAGAACGGACAATAGTAAAGATGCTTTGTTTGCTCATTCATTCCTCAACACATGTTGATTAAGTCCTTGCTACATGCCAGCCACCTTGTAGATGCTGGGGGTACAGTGGTCAAACAAGAGAGACAAAATCCCTCACCCTCAATCAGGGGAGACTAACAAGTCAGTCAAATGTGTTACATGTCAGGTGACGTATGTGCTAAGGGGAACAATAAAGCCTGGGAGTGGTGGAGAGAGCCACATGGAGCTATATGGGACTCAGGCCTAGGCGATAAGGGAAGGATGACTCAGGAGCCTGAGCTTCTTGGAGTGACTGATGCATATAGAGATAAAGGCGTATGGGTCCTGATGCTCTCAGAGCAAATAATGATGGTGAGGTGTCTGTGGTGGGGGAGGAAGAAGGGACTGCAGGAACACATGGAGTTCCAGGGGCCTTCTTCACTCTAACAGCGACAACGTGGCTGAGGGAGGGGCAGCCTTACCCAGAATACCCCCAGCTCCTGGGCTCCCTCCTTACCCTGGCAGATGTGGGATGGAGGCAGAAAGCCCCACTCATGCGTCATACATTTTTTGAGCATCTAATGAAATAAATTTC